GGGGAGTCCAAACTCCCTAAACCCCTTCGACCTGGCTACCCCACCGGAGGTGTCCACCGACATTACAATTGAAAAGGATCTATGTTTGAATCTATGTTTTCAGGTACACGGAATAGTGCAAACTGCTCTGAGGTGGCGGCAAACTGATGCTTCGGAGCGGATCAAGGTGTATACAACAGGTGAAAAATTAGGAAGTGCTGCGATCGTCTGCATCTACAGAGTAACGGTGAGGAATTTAAAAAAAAAAAAAACAACAACTACAACGCACTCTGGCGTTCTGGGGAACTTTTAACTTACGTAACAACTGCACCAATACATCAGTGGCCACAATAAAAAAAGCGCACCTGCTATTGCGACATTATAAATCCTCCCTTATGGTTAAAATTCTCGTACTTCTTGAAAAATCATAAAATATTGTACACTATATAGTGTTTAAAACAAACAAAGTGTTTTATTTATGTATACGTGTTCGACGTTTTTTGCCCATGCAGGATAACCTTAATTACAGAGTGGCCATGCACTGCACGAATAAAAACACCTCAACTCTGAGAAATGCCTTGCTAACGACAAGAAGGATAAATTGGAACTCATCCGAAACCACAATTCATTTCACTGCATTTCACGAGAAACTATTGCCCATTCTAGAGGAGTGCCTCCCTCATCACAAATTTCAAATGATGGAATATCCTAGCGCAGCCGGTGCACCAAGACTACCAAGAGTAGTGAACAATGTATACAAGTGGATAACCTCTAACCAGCTAGCGTCATGCAACTTCACGTAAGTATTTATATAAGGTATGAATACAATAGAATTTAAGAAATTGAAATGTAGCTTACACAGCAATGCGCTTCTGTATCCAAATAATAGAAATAATTTATTCGTGATTCTATGAGTACTTGCCCGGAAGAGTAAACAATAATCTAATGATACGTTGATAAGTTTGAAAAGAGTCCCTTCATAACCAGAGTATAGCGCTTTAGAATCCATTTCCGATTTGCTCCCATTATTAGGCTCCATGGATGTCGGGCTAAAACATTATACTTTCACCAGTTGCAAAGATTACTGTACAGGTCCAGGATCCCCCTCTACCTCCTTAGCGTAGCGTCGCGACGGGAGAGGGGGAAGGGGGTGCTTGAAACCGTCAAAATCGAAACTCAATTGATAGGGGCTTGGAGGAGTTGGAGGACAAGGCGCATACGGGCAGTTTTGAAAAATTGAGATATTAATGATTTCAACCTGAACTATAATCTTAATGAATACTAGCCGTTCTGGACGCGCTTTGCGCGTCCGTCACGGCCAGCCAAGGGGCTGCGGCTGCGCCCCCTGAACCCCCGATCACTCGCTACGCGAGTGACATTCGGCTCGCTCCGCGAGCCTTTTTTCTCAGTGATTGGACATTTGATCACTAAGATGTATACATTTTGGAGACTCTGGAGGCAAAAATGATTTTGTCACAGAACCTTGTTGCCGGAGCATGCCATTATTTGCACATGAATAGATGTGTGGAGATGAAGCGATAATGGGGATCGATAATTTCTTCAAAAACGCATTTGGCTGGGACATCATCCCATCGGGTGGACAGTCCATGGATCTCCTTCCACGATTTGACTTGCTGAAGTAGCAAAAGTTCATCTTTACCTCTTAAGAAGATTATCGGTGGCGTAGGTGTCTAAAAACTGCTCAACGATAGTATAGTTCGAGTTCCGAATCGCAATGAGCCCACTCGTGTTTTTTTCTTATACTTTCATCGCATATAAATTTCTCTGATGTTTTTGTTTTATTCTCTCTGATTGCATATTAGTAATCATATCCTAATTTAATTTCCTTTTCCTTTCCTTTTCCCCTCTCTGTAGCATCTGTGTTCATTTACAATTATTATTTTAAAAAGCTTTCCCTTAGTATACAATTGATGCTTCAAACGGAATCAATTGTTTTAATGACATTTCCGGCTAAATCATGGGTTTTCCCAGGAAGGCAGCCTCTCGTCCCTTCTGGACTCTATTGTTGCCAGATAAGTTGCTTTCTTAACACTTTTCTCAATTCAAATGAATGTAAAATATTTACATTTATCGCACAATTTGGCAACCTCTCGAGTGAAATAGAAAAAGGTGGAATCGCTGAAAGTCTGAATCCTTCGAAGTTTATATTAATGATTAATGATGATGATTCCGAGAATAATTCGCTCCCAAATTCCAATGTTTAAGCATCAAAAAGTCAGTTTAAACTTTTTTCTCACCATAGGGATCCATAAAAGTTGGAAACTTCAAACACGTATTTCTCGAAATAGCAAAAACTGCATTTATGAGCCATGTCCTCCAAGCCCCTTAATTTAGCAAGCTAGCATTTTAGCGAAAGAGTCTCCGTTCCCCGAATTTAGGGGTCAGTATTTCGATCGGACTGAACCAATTTTGGACGTTTTGCCATCGATTTTGCCTAAAATTTTCGTATTTTTTTATTTTGATTGAGTGATTTTAAAATTCTGATTTCGGATTCCGGGGGGTCAATTCTCCATTCGTCTCCGTGGTCCTGAGATAACTTAATTGTTACCGAGGAACTTATTACCAATCATTTTTCATGCGTGATAATGTTTTGATGTTTAAATGGAGCAATGCATTCAATCAAGTTAAGAATTGCGCGGTCAAATTAGCGGGCCCCTTAGTGCACGTTACGAAGTCATGAGACCCGCGCAGAGATTTATGGGAAATTTTCAACTTATCCATTCCTTAAGTTAATCTACCGTGGGGTCACCCTGCATGACACAGAGTGTATTCTTACGCCATCTAGTGGTCCATTGTAAATCCATCACCTCGCACAAGAAATTATTTGATCGAATATTTTCATTTATCGCAGGTGCCCACCAGAAGTCAACTTAGCACCCGTGGGTCTCGAATCCGTGGAACTTATCAGATCGAACTGGTTCAATCATCCAGATGCGGCTGAGTACATTCCAGCCCTTATCAAGCACAACCCCAGTTTGGGCGTCTATTCTCGTGCCACCGGCGAACTTTGCGCCTGGGTGCTGTTCAGCGAGTTCTGCGCATTGACTATGCTGCACACAGTGGAGCGACATCGCCGTAAAGGTTACTCACAGCTCCTGATCAATGCCATTTGTAAGAGGCTACTCCCTGAGGGACTAATCGTCGGAGCTGCAGTTATCCTCGAAAATACAGCGTCTCTAAGACTATTTGAGTCCCTTAAGTTTAAATCCAGTCAAGATTATTACTCTTACGTTCTTGCCGCACCATCAGCTGTAGACCAACTACTTAATGTGAGTGTAACATGCTTGGAGAAGCAGCAAATGTAAAAATAAAAGTAATAAAAAGAAGTAGGTAGACCTCTAACCATTATGCTGCGGCGTAAATGGCAGCATAATGGTCAGAGATCTACTTATTTTGATCTACTATGATGTACTTATTTCTAAGCGGGGAACTTTACGCCTGGGTGACTTTCATCGAATTTGGTGCTAAGAACTCTGCACATGTTCCCTCTGCACTCTGTGCTTCTGAAAAAACACCGTCGAAAAGGCTACACGCAACTTCTTTGCCACACATAGAGCGAGCAGCTTCTATTGGGGCTTTTTTCTATGTGGGCAGTATTGTTGGAGCCATTGTGCATGATGATGATACTGCATCGTTAAAATCATTTGATTCGCTAGAATCAAAGTCAAGTCGAGATTTTTTCGTACATACACCTTCTGGAACATTGGCTAAAATATCAAATCGAGTGATATGAATACCTAGTGTCCAATCGTTAGAAAGTACAAAGCTTGGCAGAGTGAACATCAAGTAGATCATGAAAATACAACTCCGAACTTTCTTAAAAAGCGCCTGCAAACTTTAAAGATAGGCACTAAACTTACTTCATAGTACCCACAATGTCTCTCTTTACCTGGAGGTGTTTCCTTGTTATTAAAAACTAGAGAAAGTCTCTGGACAACCACTGCACTGGATTATTAGAAAATTGTAAATTTTAGTATTTAACTGTTAGGTTTGTCCTTTGCCTGTTATCTTTCCCTCCATCCATCCAGTGTAACTTGGTGCATGATACATGGTGAATTTATTAGCGATGTTGATTTTTTGTTTTTTTGTTTTGAAAATTTATTATGTAATTAATTTGTTTAACTTTCCTAAGAAATTACTTGAGATCGATTCGATTAAACCCAGATGAAGAGATAATGATGAGTTTTTACGAAGGCAGTCAATAAGTAGCTATGAGCATCCGCGCATACGTTTGCATGTGTTAACTACTGATAATAATATAAGAGATGTCTTAAAATTATACTAACTAACTAACTAACTAAACTTTCTTGTCTTTATCCTGGGTTGTATTTTACAACATTTGCGTACAGTCTGTTTCAAAGAAGTTTATCTCTTCAATAAAGTTATTAAAATACCGTGACTCTTTTCTACGTATGTGAAGTGCACGTTTCAGCGTATATGAATCATAGGTGTAAACTAGTGGGAGGCAAAGTATGAAATAGTACCACTGAAGTCATTTAAAAGAATATGTAATAAAAATTTTGAGAAAAAATTAAAGAAACAAAATTTTTCCAACTCCGGAAGGGGGTCCTTCATCTGGACGAGGCATAGCAAATATTCAACGCCTACTTTCGGATTTTAAAAAGTAATTAAAATCTTATCCTCATCTCTCCTTCTGCATGTACCGCGCAAAAAAGTTTCTTATGGACAAATTAGACGTTTCAAATTGTCTTAGGATAAACTAAGAATACTTTAAAAATATGTGCATTATGCATTTTTTTCTTGCAACTTTTCCAAGGCTTTTTTTTGCAGAGTACTCCAGCGCATTGAGAAATCTTGAGGAAAAATAATCTTAATAGTTTTAAAAAGTAAAAATTATACCAAATAAACTTGGCAAAATTTGAATGCTCACACGGCTTACTTTTTTTAGCACAGCAGTGTTGAGAGCATGAAAGGCGCCGCGTCTAAATCATGGAGAGGTCACCTCTTGATTCATCAAGATTCAACCGAATGTAAGAAATGTTCCACTCATTTCGGCAACACAGTCGAGAGTTGACTGTATTAGGAAACAAGATTACTTACATCTTTCGATACTGTTAAGCGCGCTAACCGGACCAAAAATTTTTTAAGTTCCTGGGCTCGATTTCCTGGGGCCTGATGCCAATAGAGTATCGGTCATTGGGAGGTTAATGGACTCTTTCCTCCTTTCAGAAAGTGCCCGGTGCCGTGCCGAGACTCGCTCGGTGCACCGATGCTTTGAGGAAACATCGTATGCGCCATCAAATGTTGCCACATTTCGTCTGATAAAATCAACATTTCTTGACAAAAAATTCATGAATATTTCTCTGTGGAATTTTCAAGAGCAAAAACTTCAGTCGTAGGATGAGTAAAACTGTTGGAAAAATGTATGCATTTTCCAAGGAATTTTTATTTGACTGAAAGAACTTTGGCAACGTCGAAAAGCTCATACCGCGTTCTTCCTTAGCAAGGTAGAGCTGCGGGGGACAATTCGAGTCATCTTTCGGATTTTTTTCTCCAAAAGTAAAAGTACAGGTTCCAGTGCTTTCGTCAGCCAGCCGGTTGACGGTCCAGTCCAGCCTGCCGCTATTTTATAGGTGCCATCGCGGGTCGGTCAGTGGTACCTTTTTTTAAATTTGTTTTGTGCATTTTGTATCGGCAAGTGATTTGCAGCCATGATTCCCATCTGATTTATAACTTTGTCGGCACTGGTCAAAAGTGTCCTCATCCTTCCCCTTACGGCCGCTCAAACACCTCCAAACGGTATGATTTTGTATTTCCTCTTTTACTGAAACTTTCTACATCCTAAATTGTGTTTACAGTTCAAATGAAGGGTTCGGAGGGCAAGGTGCATAAGTGCAGTTTATGCAATTTTTTCCGAGAAATACTTATTTGAAGTTTCGAAATTAAATGGATCCTCATCGCGGAGAGAAAGTTCAAACTGAGTTTTTGATGCATTAAAATTGGAATTTGGAGGCGATCTTTTTACAGAATGTGCATTAAGACTATTCTCACTTGAAATCGTTAATATCTCAATTTTTTTCAAAAACTGCACATATGCGCCGTGTACTTCAAGCCCCTTAAATAATATAGGGCATAATCATTATATTTCGATAAAAAGAAAAAAACGTTTAGGAATGATGAAATTTCAACTTTTTCCCCCCCTTTACAGGATGACAATACTTCCTCTACCCTAAGTCCCTAGGGGAGCGAGAAAGTAAAAATTACACAGCCAAAAATTGATGGTAAAGTTCAATATACTCCGGAAGTTAGATAAAGTTTACCATGAATTATGAGACACTTTTTCTAATTATAAATTATAATATCATTGGTTTTTTTCTATTATAATAGAAATCATGATTGAATTTTTCGTTTTGCCTATAGTCTAGATATATCTTCGTCTTCAGATCCTTTTGAAATTTTTCCGTAGACTTTCTCCTTTGAATATCTCTTAGGAATTTTAAATAGGACTTCTAGGTTTGATGAGGTAAGCCAAGATTTTTCAAGGAGCCTCTTGAAATTCCAGTCCAGAACAATGGTGCCTTTGATACACAACACTATGATGACTGATCGAGAAAATGTCTATTTTAATTGAAACTTGAAGTGCTCTTAGTGGAGCCTCGCGCAGTGCTCGCACCTTGCAATCGCTATTCAACCTATTTTGCCATTTATTAGCATTTTCAGCGTTTTTCAAAGTACGTCATCGTATTTTACTGATTTAAAAAAAATTTCCCTTCATTGTATTTTACATCGGTACTCAGAACAGAGCCACTCTCCAACACAAAGATAATGGAAATTTCTGCAAATTGTCACCACAACCAAGGGACCAAGGGGGTCAAATTGTCATTGGGATCAAGGATCAAGGTTCCCCAACATTATTTTTGCCATCTCGATATTAACCGCGCGCCGAACCCCATAAATCTAAATTTAAGGTTGGCGTTACTCGTTGGTGGTACCGTCAAATAAAACGTTATTCGTCGGTATCGTATCCCTAACTATAAAATCTTCTAGGTACCGCAAAGGTGACTTTACGTGATGAATTTGAGTATTAAAAGTTCATAGCGGAGAACCAGCTTTAGATAGAGCTGCCGATTTTTTTACGCACACGAAACTGTTACTGCAGAACGTTTTTTTTTCAAAAAATGTGAGCTAGGTACTTTATTACTACAGGGTACTTTTATATACTTCAAGGATTCATTAAGAATTGACCATATTTCCCTCAACAGGTAATGGGGTTCTATAATACGTCATCAACCCCATAGCCTCCCTGCATTGTTGCGCACATTCTCCGTCAGAGAGCTGCAGCGCACGTTGCACCGGTGAGCCGGTTTGCGGAATTTCGGGAGGGGTTGTTTTATACACTGTTGCAACCTTTTACTCTCCTTTTTTAAGGTTAGAGTAAAGATATTCACTCTTATCAGGATACTCATACTATCAGTGGTTTTGCATTTGTGTTGTGTATGTAATCCTTGTGCATTTGGTGAGAAATATTTCTTTCTTTTTCGTCTGAATATTGTTTCTCAGGACCTCAATGATCGAATTTACTTCAGGTCTTGATTCCAAAGTGTCTTTTTCTCCCCAATTGTTATCAGTCACTGTGTCCACGTCATTTACACTGTGTCAGCTATATTACATGTACAGTAGCAGAAAATTTAGTCTCCCTGATTATGCATAGTTTGAAATAATCAATCGAAAGTTTAGTAATTTAAATATCAAAATGTATTATTTTTTCGTGAGCAAACCCATTTAATCTCTGTCAAAAATTATATGAGTGATTTTATCTGAAATTTGGCAGCTGCGTATGCACCTCTGCAGGTGAGAGCAGGGTGAAGGAACCTGGATGGAGCGTGTAAAATGCTTCATTCCCTCGCCAGAGGTCGGGTCATGTTGGGGCTCATTCAGTCCACTATCCGGAATTATTTCCAATATTCTCTTAAAGAGAGCGGCACATTCAATTCTGAAATATACTTGACGTCATCCTTTTTTTATACTTGATTCATCGGTAATTTCCGAACTAATTTTTGTCGTGCGATATCTGTGCCTCCTTAATTTCTCCTTTTTCTTCTTCTCCTCCTTCTTTTTTTCTTCTCCTTCTTCCTCTCTTGCTTCAGTACCCTAGATAAAAACGTAGAATTGCGAGAGAGATCTACTAATAATATTTTCACGGACCCTAAAAGTCCCGTTTAAAATTTCAAATTTTTTCTCAAAGTCACTAGACTTCGAAGATCATTCAACTTGCAGTTAAATTTCATCCTACTATATATTAAAATCCGAAGGCTAAAATTTCGAGCGCTGGTTCAGGTGAATAAACTAAGAATGTTTACAGTTAACATTTCGATAAGATCTGAGCCTTCTTTTTAAACATTATAGATAACGGAACGCTCTTTCAACTCAAAAAGCACGAAGAAGGAATTGTGCGAAGTTGGGTTCTGACCTAACATGCAACTATTTTAACTCCGCGGTAGGCCGAGTTGCATACGCAAGACTTTGCGGGCGAAATCTGAGATCTGTTCAGAGCGCACGCGCGCCCCCGATGTGCAGCACCCGTGATAGGGTACACAGATGCGATCAGCGTTTTTCTCCAACGTATGCAACCCGGTCCATCGATAGCTGCATATTGCGTCCAAACCAAACATCGTACATTCTTTCATTGTTTTACGCTCAGTGCATGATGCAAACGCCGAGTTCGTCTTGAGGAAAATATCTCAATTTGTTAATATCGCGTTACAAATTTATGCGACAGAAACATCTAAATAGTCGACCAAAATGGACGTCATGCTCGCAGAAAAAAACATTGCGCTCGTATCCTACTGCGAAAGCCAAAGATCTCGCAGAACTCGGATTTCGCCCGCAAAATCGAGTGTATGCAATCCGGCCCACCGCGGAGTTAAAATAGTTGCATGTTTGGTTTGAATCCAACTTCGAATATTTTTCCATTAGTTTACGCTCCACGCATTATTCAAATGCTGAATTTATCTGTTGGAAAGACATCTTATAGTTGGTGTATATATGGTGTTATTCTGTTCATGATAGCCTAAAATATCAGTTCATCATCGGAAAATGTAGTCCAATTGTTCAGTTCTCTTTTCATAATCATGCAATTGTTCTTTTAATTTTTTTTTCTGAATTGCATTTTTTCAAACGTTTTTGATAATTCTCATTAAGATGGCAGTGGCACAAATCTCCGGGGGCTTGGCCGCAGAGTAGCTAGAGGGCGGAGTCCCTTATTAGGTAAGGGCTTAAAAAGTCTACAGGATATTTTGACTCCGCAAGTTGACCCGCACCAACGCTTGCTCCACCGCAGAACTCAACATTTATTCCATTGTTCATTTACAAATTGGTTACTTTCTCCAGTCATCAGCCGCTTGGTCACAAAACTTGCCTCGAGTGATTTTCACCTCTTTCCAGAATTGAAATCGGGTCTTTGCGGTAGTAGCTTGGCCATCAAAAACAACGATGAAATTATCATATCACACTTGCAGCAATCATTGATATGGCTTCAGGATTTAAAATAATATATCATGAAATTCCCTGGTGTATCCTCACGGACTAAACTGCTCCAAACACAGCTTAAAATTATTTTGGATAATGAAGCATATCTATGGTGAAACTGCAAAAATGCGTACCTATCTCGGTTGTGGTGTTTCAAAATCTCTGCTCCTATTTTTTAAAAAAAACTAGACCAACATCAACAGATGGCTTGACATTTTCACTGCAGAATAATCTTCATGCAGAGAAGAAACATCGCCGAAGTTTTCAAGAAATAACGTTTACCTAGTGGTTTTCAATGTAAAAAATAAACTGTGATAGGAAGTCTGCAACGCCTTAAACCGATATGCCCATCTCTGCAGTTTCATCGTCGATATTCCTTATGAGAATCAAGTATATCAATTTTTTTGTTAAAGGAAGAAAATATTATATTTTAGAAAAAAATCACTCTCCTGATAGAATTTCCCGCAGAAAATTCGGACTCCTCATTTTGTGGACGGCTGTAAATCCTTCCATTTCATTGATTAGGTATTTGTTACGATCGTAATTATTTTATTTTGCAGGTGTGTGAAGCTAAAACTTCTACTTTAAAAAAAGGATCGAGGAATAAAACATGCGGGACGATCCTTTGCAGCCAGTGCCATGGACGAGGATGGAAGAGCTTTTGGAGAAACTGCTGTCGGATGTACCAAATTCGCTCACAGTAAGTTTCTTTTGGTGTTGATAAGTTATTTATACATATTTCCCGAAAAGAAAAAAAATTAAAACTTCTCGAGTGGCTTCTTCTCTGGAGTTTTAGCAAATTTGCACGCGAAATTTTCAAACATGTCGCGTCAAAGACTGTGAAACTACCGGACCACGTACCTCGTTTGGACGTTCGCTGCGTTTTAACATTTCTGCTTTCATTATTGTATATTTTTAAAGGAGAACGAATCAATATCTTAACTTATAGTTTTCACAGGGTTTTTTCGGAGGAAAATTCTCGTAAGTTTTCAAGAATTGACGTTGATTTTTTTTTTTTTTTTTTTTTTTTTTTTTTTAATTTTATTGGTTAATTGATCTTCTGTACCTACAGAAATTACAATTGATATTCTGTACAGAAATTACAGTTGACGTTGAGTAGTTTTCCATTTTATTGATTAAGTATGCCGGGGGGTCTGCAACGTCACAAACAAAGATATGTGGTCTGGTATAGTTTCACCGCCGATATTTAATGCTCTTACGTTTCCCAACTGAGATCCACATAAAAACTGACAAAATATTGAAATTTTCTCTTGCAACACTGAACCGAGTGAAAACAAAAGAAAAATATAGAGGTGGACTCTTCCTCTTAACATGTGTCATCTAATCATTTATAGGTACTTTTTGAAGAGCTTTTTATGAGCCTGGTAGTAGATTCTTGGAAAAATCAAAAATAATGTTATAATTATCAAAATTTAAACAATATTGTCGTTTCTATTAATTTTTTTCTTGTTTTTCGGGAGAATTGATTGAACGGCAAGAGGACCAATATTGATTTCGATTATTTTTTTTCTCGACAGTTGAACTTGCGGCCCACTCGACTCACATAACATTTTGAATCTGTTTTTAGGTGTATGGAATGGTGCAAACAGCTTTACTGTGGAAACAAACCGAAGTCTCCCATCGGTTTGGCATGTATACCACCAGTGATCGGTTTGAGGGAGCTGCAATAGTCGGGATTTTTAAAATTTCTGTGAGTTTTCTATTCCCTGCTTATTTGGAGAATTTAGAAACTGTTTAGTGTATAATCTGATAGCGTAACGTTAAAAAAAATTGTTTCTTTGCAAGGGAGAAAATTTGCCGAGTTTCACTGAAGATTGGTAGTTTTATATGCTGGGACAAACTGCCTTTAAACGATGAATGAAAACAATTTAAGCAACTATTATACGTACCTCATATGTGAATTATGTTCTTGTGAGAAATTGCGCGGAATTTTTTTCGAATTGGACCGAAATTTTATAGAAGACATCGTTGCTTCTTTTTTTAAGGGGGGGGGGGTAATTCACTCAGGAGATCCACAGTTTTAATTTGATGTCCCCTCGGCGCGCACCGCACTAAGAAAAGGTGCTGTATATAAATTCATCGTAATTTTTGAGCCATTTTCCAGAAGAAACAGTCTTCTTTTCGCCACAGCTAAATTGCTAGACCGCAGGATAAGTGAAACGTATTTTCTCAGCCCCTTTGGCCGATATGCAGCTTCTCGGTCACGCCATCAAAGGCCTGGCGCGGGATTCAAATTTCGACAATTTTATTTCGACAATTTAATTTTGTCTTGCCCCTAAACAAACATGACCTAATTCTACTGTTGATAAAAATGAGGAAATAGCCATCTCCTAAAAGTTAATGAATTTTCACTCGAAACGAATTTGCTTGCACGGAGTTTTTTTTTTATTTTTATCAACAGCATACGGTCATATTCGTCTTCAAAGATTGCAAAATTGTTCAAACTGAAACTCGCGTCATGACTTTGAGGGTGGTAGCGAAAAGCTGAACGCTTTGCATTGCAAAAATTGCATTTTACAATTTGATACTACAATACATGGCTCAGTTGAGAAACAACGTATTTACCATCAGTTTTCCTATGCACATGAGTGTTTTACAGATGAGTTAACAATTTTAGTTCCAAATTGCAAAATGCAATCCAATTTAGCGGGAATCTTTCGAACGGAAGGCCCTCAAGCTCGTCAAAACTGGAATCTTATTTGGACTACATTTTGCAATTTGGAACTATAAATTGTGCCTCCGTTTAAAACCATCGTATGTGCCAGTAGTTTCTCTATACCCAGATAGGTGCTTTTACAAATGGGTCGGAAGTTATAGCTCTGCATTGCAAAATGAAGTCCGTTTTATCACAGCCGGCCGACATGACGAAATGTGGCGGATGGGCTTATTCAGTTTTCTTTTTAAAAAATTCACCATTACAAGAAAAAGAAGAAAAATAAATGCGCAAAGCTCTAGCTTCCAAGAGAGGAATCATAATAAAATTTTCTGACTGCAGAAACAGTATCCCCATCTCGGATACTGAATTACAGCAGTAAATCCTCAGGCTGTAATTTATTCAAATCCTCTTATTCCTCTTTACTTCTGCATGAATTAGCTGCAAATAAGCGTCGCCTGCCTCATTTCTCTCGCACTGCATTGCAGGATGAAAAACAAAATAAATAATCAAGTATAAACAACGGTTCAGGATTAGTCTGCGAATTCTAATCCATTTCTACGACCACATTTAACCTCCACTGAAATGCGAAATCTTAAATTTTCCTGCGTGTCTGCGGGTCGATTGTTGGATCGTTATCGAATGTGTTTGATCGATAGCGCCCTACCTGCACAATGCCATAAATCGATTATTCGATATATATCGATGTATATCGATTCTCGATAACGATTCAACAGTCGAGTCTGGCGTGTAAACGAAAAACGTAGCATGGGCGATTCTGCCGTGCTGAGGAAAAGCCCTATGAGACATCAGGAGTTGCGAAATTTCCTCCGACAAAATCAAGCTTTTCTGGGAAAGCTGCGACTATTTTTCCAAATTCGCGAATTTTCAAAGAATTTAATTCGCAATTCAACTTCGCATATCTGGGTAATTCTACGAAAAGTGTCCAATTTGACCTCCCAAAAACTAAAAATTCAACTATATTATTTTGGATTGAGAGTTTTTTTCTTAGTTCAGCATAGTATCAGGCTTAAAATTTCTATACGAGTACCTATTTTTATCAGGCATTTCTTTTTTTATGAGAAATTGTTTTAAAAATAGATCCCGGATGTCACGACCGTCACATCGATTATTTTGATCCTTCAGAAAGAGATATGGTCAAATATGCAGTTTTATTATTATTATTATTATTTTTTATACTGTTAGGTCCTATGAAGTAGTGAAACAACTAAAATTAGTGACTCAGTGTATATGTTCATCATAAAATAGCAAACGTTTTCTAATTTTTGCAGATTTTTCGGTTTTTTTCTCGGAGAACAAAAAAAAAATGTTTTTCTTGGAAAATTGTGAACACTTTTCTTCAAATGTTTCAGATAATTTTGTTCGCTATTTGATCTAAAATATCTGAAAATTTGAAGGAGAAATATGGATAAATACCTTAAAAAATACATGTTTTATCTAGAGAAACTTGGCAACTCTCGAATGTTCATACGGCGTTTTTCCTCAGCACGGCAAAATGGTAGTATTAAACCGCAATATAAGCAAGATTCTGTTTCACAATCCTGTTTAAAAAATAAAATAATTCCTCAAAATAATCAACAGCTCGTCTCTCTAATTTTTCTGCGCAGGATTCTCATGACTACAGAGTGACGGTCTATTGCTTCGGAGAAGACACTTCAATGCTGCAGGAGGCCCTGCTGAGGACAAATCGGATCAAATGGAACTCACCAGAATCGACGATATTCTTCACTGCCATCCCCGAAAAACTCCTGCCAGTCGTGCAGCGGTGTGTTTCGGGCCAAGGTTTTGGCATTGTACAGACAGAAAATATAGTTTACCAGTGGAAAACTCCCGATCACCTGAATTCCTTGAATTACTCGTAAGTGAACTTAAAAAGTTCCCTCCCAAAAATCTAAAAATATGTCGACGGTGAAACCGCAAAAATTCGTATCTCGGAAGCAATGTTTCAAAATCACTGCTCATACTTTATTTTTCAAGAGAAGACCCAACCAATATAACGGTATGAAATTCTCACAGAATATTCATCACTTAGAGAATAAAAATCACCGAAATTTTCATGAATGACTTTTGGTAGTTTTCTACATCGTGGCCGGATTCACCCACTTGCCGCCCAGGGACCGCCTGTATTTTGCCGCCCCCTTCTCATTCGTTTTGAGACTCGATAAAAACCATCAAATGAACGTGTCAGCGAGGGAGGGGTGCATTAGACGCATTTACTCGAGTTGAACACATTTTTTGGGAAAGCCCTGTCAACACTACTGGCAAAAGTTCACGGAACTTTGCGCGAAAGTTAAGTTCCGTAAACCTATCTCTATGTGGACAAGGCCTTCCATTCAGAAGAAATGAACGAAAAAATTATGAAAGAACAAACATAAATGTGGATCAATGATTTTAACTTCCGCCGCCGCGCCGCGCCGCGCCGCGCAGACCGCACCGTGTTTGGCGCAATGCGTGAAGTATTCCGACAGTCTTGTAGGCGCTATGCGTTTCACGCCGACCGCTGCTGAACGCACTGTGTTGGACGGAACGCGTGAAGTATTCACGAAGTCTTGTAGGCACTATGCGCTCACGCTGACCGCCACCGCACTGTGTTTGGCGCAATGCGTGAAGTATTTATGCATTCTTGTAGGCGCCATCCGTTTCACGCTGACCGCAATGACCGCACTGTGTTTGATGCAATGCGAGAAGTATTCGTGCAGTCTTGTAGGCGCTAATATGTGTTACATGCCGACCGCCGCGCCGAGGGCTTCTCCTTTTCATCTCAAGTCCTCGTTATCATTTCTCTCTAAGCCGCGCCATTCCAGGCCAAATTGCGTGTTTGGTCTCTCTCTTAACTCGACTTATTGAAGGTGCTGTCTCTTGTATCACTAAGAGACGACAAAATTAGAAATTACTACATTCTCAGGAAATGAGAGATTTTGTCGCCTTTTCTCGTTTGTACTTTTATTTTTATAAATCCGATTTTTTTTTATACCTACACTTTAAAAAATTGGAAATTTTTGCTGCCCCTTAGATTTGCCGCCATGGGCCGCGGTCCATTTGGCCACCCTCTTAATCCGGCCCTGTTCTACATAGGAAATAAATTATGAAAGCAAATCTGCAGTGCCGCACACCGAGATACGCATTTCTGCACTTTCACTATCGACATGCAGTAGAAAAAATGTAAACAGTTGATCATGATATTCCATTATTATTCGAGAATTTTTTCTGTACATGCTCAAAGTTTATGCCGGCAAAACTAAGGGATCATTTAGACTCCTGGTTTCACGGATGTCCCATCCCAAGGTGATCAATGTAGGGAAGGAGAGTGGCCAATTTATGGTCCATCTTGAAATTTTCCGTTACTTAATATCCGATTTTGGAAACTTCAAATTGTGTCGAATTTTCTTCGTTTTGTTGGTATCGGGAAAGCATACCTGCCTTTCATTCATCTCCATTTCGTCACCGTCTCTGAGTAGAGCGGTTACGCCCAACTCTCAGAAATCGAGTGTCTTTCAAAATTCGACCGGTCACCTATGCGCTTCAAGCAATGTAATAGCTTACAGCACAGTCTTTATTAAAATGACGTAGGTATGCATACTTGGGCCTTGTCCACACGAGCGCAGTTCGCGGAACTTATTCCTTGAAACGAGGCATGCTGTCCACACGGGTTCGTCCGAACTGGAACCGGAACTTCAATAAAACTATACAATTATTGCAAAATAATAGATTATTATGACCGCCAAAGTAACAAAAAAAATGTCAGGATCATATGTAAAGGACGTGAAAAACAAAAAAAAAGCAAATTCACATCAAAAGAAACATATTTAGAAGCTCGGAGCACGGGGGAAATTCCAGGTTTTGGAGGAATAAGTTTCAGCTCAGCAAAAAACTTGTTCCGGGAACAAGTTCCTCGAACTGAGTTCCGCGAACCGCGTTCGTGTGGACAAGGCCATGTATTCCTGCTCCGTGGTTGTCCAAATGGCAGATGCAAACTGTGGGGGCTCGAAACGTGGTGACCCTGAAAAGGGCCGATTTAAAGGGGGATGGAGCCAGAGTGGGACAGTGGCGTGGCGTGTTTTGCGATATTGATTGATCGGTCATTTAAACCTATGGTAAAGAATCGATGAACTGGGTGTTCGCAGCGAACACCTTAATAATCGATTATTTACCACAGCTTTAAATGGGGAGATATCGATAGATCGCAAAGCACGCCACGCCACTGGATTAGGAGAGTGGCCGCGGGACAGTGTCGGACATCGCTGACCACTGCACCGGCCCGCCGCGCCGCACGATGGATCGGGTCGAGGGGGGAGGTCGGACAAACTTTGGAAACTTTAAAAGCTCATAACCCCGTTCACGCAAAACTTTGAGGTTTTAGAAGAGGTATTATTGGTTTCCTCGTAAAATTTTCAACAAAAAGCACCCCTTGAAATTTAAAATTTGACGAAATAAACATCAAAAATTGTAGTTTTAGTCAACAATTTCACGACAGACCTCTCTGGTTGGCTCGATCCACTGTGCGCCGGTGGCCGATATGTAGCGTGGTATGCTGAGTGCGGTGGCCAATGAGCAGCCGATGCGGGGAGCACGGCAGTGCGAGGCGCTGATTGGTCGCGAAGTGAACGGCGGGAAAGCTCGGTGAACTTTGTAGGGAACTTTTGAAGGGAGACTGGCTTCCTTCGCAATGGACCACTAGATAAGGTACGAATTTCAGCATTCTGATACATGTTTCTTAACCAAAATTTTACGTAAAACACGATGCACACAACGAAAATTACCGAAATGAACTCCTTACGAAGATATTACATGATTCTCGGTGCGTGAATTCAAATCACCCGCTCATGAAAACTCTATGCTCTACGTGATTCACATCAAGCGCTAAACGTTATCATGACAGTCTCTACGATGTGCAAATCTGGCAACCTCAATCTTGACGCTTTGGCTCAGCTGTAGCAAATTGCTTGTAGTTTGAACAACACATGGTGGGACATGAACATTGCTCGACTGAGAAGCTTGCTGAAACCGTTGTAGTGCGCGATTTGATACACGTAGAGCTTTGAGTTTCTTGTGAGCGGGCAGTTCAAATTCTTCGTAACCAATGTAAAATAAAATCGTTAATATCTTCGTTAGGAGTTGGTTTAAGTAATTTTCGTTGTGTGAATCGTGCTCTACGTGCAATTCTAACCAGGAAACATGTATCAGAATGCTTAAATTCGTACCTTGTCTAGTGGTCTATTTAAACTATCATCAGGTTCTACCGTGCTATTGATGACATAAATTGGAGGTACGTTAATAACGCCTGAATGCAACTATTACCGCTCCAAGGATTCTGTATTGCATATACACATTATTGAAGGCGCACTGACTTTCTTTTAACCTCAGTCAGACACACCATCCTGAATCTAGATGATGAAAGAAGGACGATGCTGTGAAGAGAGGAGTGACAAGTGACAAGAAAATAATGTTCGTTTTTTTTCTCGTTCTTCATTGTACATACATACATACATACATACATACATACATACATACATACATACATAAAGTCGCTTTTATAGCGCCGCCTCGCGCTCTGCGACGCCCAATCGTCATTTCCCCCTATCCTCCCAGAGATCATCAGGCAATTGGCACCTTCTGATCTCCTCCTCCACCCCTTGTCGCCAGCCTTTCACAGGACGTCCACGCCGTCGCCTTCCGGGAGGAACCTAATCGACGAAGACCTGCTTGGGCAACCGATCATCTGCAATTGTACCTTCATTGCATCTTCATTCTTCATTGTATTCTTCATTGTATCTATGTTTAATTTTTGCTTCAGATGTCCGCCGGAAGTTCGCGTGGCGCCCCTGGGTCTCGAGCACGTGGAACTAATCCGGAAAAACTGGTCGAATCTCCCGGCTTCGGCAGAGTACATCGAGACGCTGATCAAGCAGAACATCAACTTGGGCGTCTACTCGCGTGCCACGGGGGAGCTCTGCGCCTGGGTGTTATGCAACGAGTTCTGCGCCTTGACCATGATGCACACCATAGAGAACCATCGACGCAAAGGCTACGCGCAGCTCTTGTGCAACGCCTTGAGTGAGCGCCTCCTTCGAGCGGGCATAATCGCCAGGGCCGTCGTCATGGAGGAGAACAAACCCTCCTTGAAGCTTTTCGAGTCCCATAAATTTAGGTCCAGCCGTGATTTCTTCATTTATGTTCTTGCGATGCCCCGTCGGGCTGTGGACAGTGGACAGTGGGAGATTTAAAATGCAAAAAAAAATAGTTATCGATAGTTGAGCGCATAGTCCATCTTCATTGGGACAATTTATAGAAAAAAAGAAAATAATTTGTTTAAGGCACTGATTGATTGATTAGGGTTGGGGTTTGGAGGGTGGCTTGTGCAAACTTTAATTGAGGGGCTTGGAGGACAAGACGCGCAATTGCAGTTTTGCCATATTGAGAAATACGTGTTTGAAGTTTGGAAATTACGTGGATCTTTAGGGCGGAAAAAAAGGTCCAAACTGATTTTTTGATGCATAAAAATTGGAATTTGGGAGCGAATTTTTCCCAGGATATGCATTAAGACTACTTTTATTTGAAATTATTAAAAACTCAATTGAAAAAAAAAAACTGTACTTATGCGCCTCGTCCTCCAAGCTCCTCAATTCTAGAACCTTGCTTTGCCATAAATGAATTACATTTGCAATGAGGAGCCACCATTTCTGGCTCATCTATAGAAGCAACTGCAATACCTGCATGCATATGGAATCTTATGGTACATACATTGTTTCAAAAACGAGCCAAAAATAGTAGTCCTTCATTGCAAAATGTAGTCCTAATGGATGAAAAAGCAGAGAAAAGATATGTCTTGGTCTGAAGCAAATAGAGAGTTTTTCTCGGAGATAGACTCATTTTGCGCAGCGCTCAAACTTGCGAAATGTGTGACGAAAAGAACAATATTTTGTATACAAATGAAAAACTTTCAACTGCGTCTGGTTTTTAATGGGGTCTTGCGTGGTCTCTGCAAATGCTTTTGTTTTTTTTTTTTGCTTTGCAGTAACCGCACCAAGCCCTCTTTTCATTTCACCTTCGCCACTTTCTAATAGAACTCACCATTCCTAAACTACTGCACTTACTACTTTTTTTCAATGCTCCCAATGCAGATGGACTTTGTTTGATTAAATGCACTCGAATGAATCGGAATAATGGGAAGAAAGGAAACACTCGCATTATTTTATATTTTATGGCCAATGACTTTAATTTTAAGGAAATCAGGATCCTTCATAGTCGGGTTTTTTTTTTCATTTCAATGATTACATGTACCTAAATATACAAAAACACGCAAAAATTCATAATGCTCATCTCAATATTGGATCTCCGTGTTTGCCCGGTACTTTTAGCCTTAATGCAGTTTAAATAGTTCTCATATTGTTGCAACTATTTGAGCATTTAACCGTTTATTAGAAATTATTTATCGTCTATATATCTGTACTTTTTATTTTAAACTTATAACTTTGATTTTACAATTGATTTCCTATCTATATTCATTATGATATTTACAAGTATATATTTCATGTATCGTTTATACTTATGATAAATCTTAACGCTCTTTGCATGAACATGATCTATTTGTAATAAATGCAAAACCAAAGCTATTATACGATTTGTGACTGATGTCAGAGCAATATACTCATTTTTAGAATATTTCACAACGATGTCTAAATTATTTCTGTCGGTGCTCAAATCATAAAACTCTCCCTCGGCAATGTTTCGATACAGAATCAGGTTGCTTCAAAGTTAAAGACACGAAAATTTGCTGGATCGATTTTTGACGTGTAAAAATAATACGTTTTTTGGCGGTATATTCCGCTTCTCGAAAACTTCCCTCCGAAAGTGGTCGTCTCCCAGACTTTAGAAAATAATATCCATTTTAAAATTGTAGCGACCTTTGTAGGTCAAAATTGATAGAATTGATAATTGAGCGTAATTTTAAGCTTCCAGGTAATTTTTGACCCCCTAAAAGAGTTTGTTTCCCTTCTGGAAAGCCCTTAAAANAAATATGAATAATGAACGTACCTTAACCCTCGCTGCACCATGTGATGTGTTGTTTTGATTTCAACTGTGAAAGAATTGCAGCTGGTAGTTAGATTTGCAAGAACTTTAATTAAGATATTTGGTGAGTATAAAGTGTTAGGTTTCATTTATTATCAGAGGAAGTGAGTGTCACACAAAATCCTACTATTGTTGTCTCTTACAACAATCAAACACAAGCTGTTCCGTTCCATCTTGGTCTAAGCGGTAAGTTTGTCCGTACTGTATTCAATATAGTTTGTCTACAGTATTCAGTCTCCTTTTTCAATAACCGAACATTCTTTCTATCACACAAAAGATTGCAATCATGATGGTAATCAAAAGACATTAAGTATAGAAAACAGAATTGATCTGAAATCCTGATCATACTTACTCTGCTTCCACACTGGAAATTAGTTGCCCTGAAGAGTTTAAGAACTGACCGCTGCCAAATTCAGGATTACTGAGTGCATTTACTTGCTACAATATAAGATTTGTTCAAAGTTACCCCCACGCAGAGATCCTGTATGTTCTTATTTGATTAGGTCGGCCCTTGGTTGATTACTCAGAAGTTCATCTAATCTCTTTGCCATCCATGATATTTTTTAGCGAACATACCCGGAAAATAATCCTCCAAAATCATTTATGTGGTTTGTTCACTCCCTGACTTTCACTAAGTACCTGATGTGTTCACTATTCAGGCACATCAGTGGCTGATGTACCTACATCCTTCTTTCGAAATTCCCCACCCATAGAAACACCTGTGTTTCTGCAGGTGGGGAATTTCGAAATAATCTGAGGAGAATACATTTAAGTAGGGAGGGTCCTTCACCCTGCGCTTTTCAGATTGATCCATTAAACTCCCTCGGGGAATACTCATGTTCTTTCCGGTACCATTTTTCTTACTAGTGCTAAAAAGCTAATTCCCGTTGCCAAAATTAATTTCCTTGATACGCAATGAATTACAGTCAGTTGTGCGACAAGAACCTAGAATGCTAAGATAATATGATCATAAAACTCCTATTCTTAAACCATTTTTTATCCTATTTATGTGGTTGAATTTTTTTTTTCTTCTTTTCGCTACAATCTGAAACTCATTGTTAAGAGTCATTAGATTGCCTCACCATTTTACTATGTTTCATCCTGTCAATCTTTCATGAATTTACAGATAATGGAGGGGAGTGGAGAGGGACCTCCTCGCAGCCGCTGCAGCGCAATAGGGTGCCCCACGAGGAAGGGTGATCCTGGGGTGCTTCTGAAGCGCTTTCCCAAGGAAGAAACAAGGAGGAAAGAGTGGGCCAAGAGAATATACCGCCCAGATTGGAACCCAACGATCCATCACTTTCTCTGTGAGGTAATTATTTTTCATGATGATTAGTTTTATTCAACAACTCTAATATTGCTATTTGTGTCAAAATTTCAAATTCTAATGGGTAATCAGACGTTTATCTTCTGATCTATTAGGGTCCCACTGTTTGACTCCTCCCCCTTTAAAGGCACCCGTACGACAATCCCTTATTCCCCGTTTGAATAATGTCAAATGATGACAAATAATGGTCATCATGAAAAATAATTACCTCACAGAGGAAGTGGTGAATTGTCGGCTGCCAATCTGGGCGGTAAATCCTGTTGGCCCATTCTTTCCTCCTACTTCCTCCCTTTGGAAAACGTTTCAGGAGAACGGCAGGATCACCCTTTCGGGTAGGGCACCCTATACTTAGCGCTGCATTAGGTGAGGTTTAGAAGAAGTAACAATCCATATATTTGCATCATGTGTCATTTGTATATGGCACATTATAGTATTCTTGAAATTTTGATATAAATTCAGTTTTCAATTTTTGTATGTTTTTACTGAAGATAATCCTCTTGTGTGTAAGTAGTTTTTACTTTCATCCCACCATCAATTTTGATCTATTGGCATATTTTTGTTGCTTTGTACCAAATTGCTACTTTACTTATTGCCCATAAATGAATTCAGTGTTTTAAAAGAAAGTGTTTTTAAGTGTTTAAAAATAAGTAATAGAGATCTGAGGACTGACAAGTCAAAAAATCTCCTCCTCTTTGGCAATTCATTTTATTTCTTCTGGTTTTTAGTGTATTTTTCCTTTTCATTCCTCANAAAAAAAAAAAAAAAAAAAAAAAAAAAAAAAAAAAAAAAAAAAAAAAAAAAAAAAAAAAAAAAAAAAAAATAGCCAATAATTACATTGCTTTCAGGAAGGTTTCAACCAAAAAATTTCCCAAAGAATTCAAATTTTAAGTAGATGAAGTAAGGTAACAACTAGAGTATGTGTTTACATTTCTATTTTTTATTTGTAATTAAAGCAATTAAATATTGTAATTAGAGAGTAGACCTTGTTTTAAGTGAGTGTTCTTTTCAACCTTTGCTTATGTTTCTATTGAATAAATAAATTTTTTCACAAGGAATTTGTATAGTTATTTTCATATCTTAAGAGCCATATGCATCCTATCCACAATAGTTTCATACGTTCTTGTGGAGTAGAATAAAAGTTACTTTATCTGTCGGTAAGAAGTAACTGGAATCTGAATTTCACCGATGCTGCCATCAGTAGCCATGCAATGCTGTTTGATGTCAACATTCTTGACTTTTAGATGCGGTCATTCCTCTCTGTCAGGTAAAGTAGCTCTTTCCCCTGATACAGTTCTTGGCAGACAAGGCTCATTTTCTCGAAACTTTTAAATGTTCCTGAAAACAATCCCCTTAAAAGGTTTTTCTTGAAGGTGAAACTAAAGAAATATGTCTTCAAATCAGAAGCTTTGAATTCTCACAGAAATTTTGTATTGTTAAAATTTAAACACCTGTGAGAATTCTGAAATACTCTTTCAAGTATGAAGAACTTTTTTGCTGAAATATGACATTTATAGAGCTGCTAAGAGGTGATACAAATTTGTTAACTTCTGAGGAGTTGAGCTAAAATTGTAAATTTTGAATAATATTAATATCATGGAGACATGTTTTTTTACTTTTGTGATATCATAAGACCAGAAGCAAGTATTAAACCCATGTGCAAACAATGGGTGCAGTTTGATAAATCTTCCAAGCAACAGCTCGTAGTCCATGCTTACCATGGACAGCCTATTGATTGAAGAATTAAAGCACCTCATGACATCAAGTTAATTTCATTATAATTGTGGACGAAAATCAAGAAACATACCAAACATTTTCAAATTAAATTCATATAGAAGAAATCAGCATTGATGCCTCAAATTGAAATTCTAAGTTATCGTTGCACAGGATTAAAAGAAGAAGAAGGGAGTAGAGAGAAAAGGAATATGGTAAAAATTGGCAATTGGAAACTTTAAGTTGGGGATGTTAGTCACTCAAATGCACAGTCCTTGAAATTCTTTCAAAGAAAATTTGACATGCAATGAGCATTTCTCAAGGATGAAGCATA